CAAGGGTACAGAACCCCTGATCCGTTGGTAGAGAGAAGGAGGGATAGATGGATGTCTTTCCCTCCTGCACGATCAAAGGTATGATCGATCTATCTCAATACCTGAGCCCAAACGGCCAGGCGCAGGAGAGGTAAGGATAAGGAGTATAGATGAGGGTATTACACGGGTTCTATTCACATCCCCTCCCACCCTCCCCTTCCTCCTCCACCTTCCCTTCGCCCCATCGCTCCTCGCTGCTCCTCCTCCTTCCTCCCTCCCTCCACCCCCCGTCCACCCAGGGGTCCACAGAAGCCAGGACGAACGGGCGCCGGGCGCCGGAGAGACTCCGGGCGCGGCCTGACCGACCCCTACCGTAGCACCTCCCGTCACGTCACCCTCGCCGTCCAAGCCTTCATCCAGCCGCACGCATACGAGAGTCAAGGCCGACCCCAGTTTGGAGGGGGGGCCCTTTGTGCTCTTCGTGTCGAGGGACTCTGCCGTGGAGCACTCGCCGTTTTGAAGAAGTACGTAGCACCCCGCAGATGCGGATAAGAGTGAGGGGGCGGTTGGGACGTCGACAGTTTGCGAGACTCTGGAGAAGCCCGCCGCAGGCGCCAAAGTTGCACAAATTATATAACGAGCCCACAACAAGCACCGATTCTTCGTTAAACCAAGGTGGGTAGGTCGCGGGTGGGTCGCAAATGGGTCACAGGTGGGTAGCGGGTGGGTCGCTGTTGGGTCGCGGGTGTACAAGGCAAAAAAATCCACCCCATAATAATCACCCCGACAAACGAAGCCAGTTAGTAAAAGCACACAAGGAATACATCTAGCAGGGCAGGTTTTTTGTACACCCAAGACCGTTTAGAAAAACGTCAACTGTCGGGCCCCAATAGTTTTTCCTCCCTTGAGGGTGGGTCGCGGGTGGGTCGCGGGGTGGGTCGTGGGTGGGTCGCGGATGGGTCGCGGATGGGTCGCGGGGTGGGTCGCGGGTGGGTCGCGGGGTGGGTCGCGGGTGGGTCGCGGGTGGGTCGCGGGGTGGGTCGCGGGGTGGGTCGCGGGGTGGGTCGCGGGTGGGACGACGACGACAACAAACAACAACAACAACAACAATTACTAGCACGTGGGGACACTCCGTTCTCACCAGTGCCAGGGTTTTCATAGGAGGCGGGCAATACCCCCACTTTGTGGGGGGGCCGGTTCAAGCTCTACCAAATTTCCAAACGACTCTTCGCCACCACCCACACCCAGCTTCCCGCCCTATGACGTTCGGACACTTCACTTCGTGGCATGCGGACGACCGTGGCTACTATTCAGGGCCCCGCGGCCGACGACGACGGCGTGCGCGCGCGAAGAAAAAACGAATGTGTCCCGCATGGTATTATTTGACAGGGATGATGGCCCTGGCAGGTGCGCAACCGTTGTCGCAGAAGTTCGAAAAAGTTGCTCGCAAAAGCCCGTTTGACAGAAATGTTTAAAAAGTGTTGGGTTTCCTACGAATCCGCAAGAGCGCGCGGGATGAGATTTTGACATTTTTTTGTTGAAAAACCATTGGTTTTTTGATGTTTTTATGTTAAAATCGCTGCGAACACTAAGGTTTTGGAAGGATTTCGTCTTGCGCGCGCGAATGTCCACTTTACCTTATTTTTTGCAAGGGATTCTTGAAATTTGATTATATTAGAACAAGAAATGTCATTTTCTATTGTTTTTTGCAAGGGAAAGCGGATTACAACAAAACAACCGGATCCTGTACACACCCTCTTTTCTGAGGCTTCCTCACGAAAATGATGAAAATGTAGCTGCGGCCTAGGCGGCGCAGGGGGGGCGCGCACCAGGGGGCCCAACAATAATTATTCTTTAGAATAAATAATGTTCAACAACAACAACAACAACATCAGCAGCAACCACAACACCAACTCCAACACCAACAAGAACAACAATAACAACAGCAACAACAACAACAACAACACCAACAACAACAACAACAACCACAACACTAACCACACGAATTACAACAACAACAACAACAACAACAGCACCAACAACACCAGCAACAACAGCAACACACACAACAACACCAACAACATCACCACTTACAACAACAACGACAACAACAACAACAACAACGCCAACAACAACAACAACCACAACCATCACAACAACAACAACAACAACAACAACAGCAACAACCAACAACCAAACAACCAACAACCAACAACCAACAATCAACAACAGCAACAACAACACCACCACCAACAACAACAACCATGTTACCCTCATGCGCGATGTTTTCACACGAAGCATGCGGCCATCATGATAACCATCCACATCATGTGGGACTCTTGTTCTATAGCGGGGACCGTTAGTCCCATTCCCAGGTATCCCGCCCAATGAGGTCTTGCAAACACCTCCGCCGAGGAATCTTAACATATCCCGCCACGAAAACACATGCCCGCGCCTTGCTGCGCCGATGCGAGACCGCCAGTGGAATCCGAGCGAAGGGTAAAGCACAAGGAACTATCGAACGACAGGATTGCCTTGGTGAGGATGGGGGCTGTCGGCGGCGAGGCAAGGACCTGGCCCTGAATAGAAAGGGAGGAAGTCTCGAGCAGGGCTGCTGTTGTTGCTGGGAGCGGCGCCAATGCTGAAGAGAGTAGGGCGCTAGTCCAGCGAACAATAAAACGAAGTCTCGAGCGGGAGCGCTGGTTTTGTTGGGACGGCGGCTTTCGGCGGCGAGGAGGAACACCGCCTTGAGCAAGAAAGAGGAAGCACCGAGCGGGAGCCGTGGTTTTGTCGGGACGGGGGCTGTTGGCGGCGAGGAACAGCACCGTCCCCAGGAAACAAATAGGAAATCGCTGGGAGCGGCGCCAATTCAAAAGAGAATAGGGCGCCAATCCAGCGTAAAACGGAAGGAAATCTCGGGCGGGAGCGCTGGTTTTGTCGGGGCGGCGGTTTCGGCGGCGAGGAGCAACACCGCCTTGAATAAGAAGGGAGGAAGCATCGACCGGGAGCCGTAGTTTTGTCGGGACGGGGGTTGTCGGCGGCGAGGAACAGCACCGTCTTCAGGAAAAAGGGAGGAAGCCTCGAGCGGAAGCGTTGGTCTTGCTGGGAGCGGCGCCAACTCAAAAGAGAGTAGGGCGCCAGTCCAGCGTAAAACGGAAGGAAGTCTCGGGCGGGAGCGCTGGTTTTGTCGGGGCGGCGTTTTTCGGCAGCAAGGAGGAGCACCGCCTTGAGTAAAAAAGAGAGGGAGCGCAAGTCCAAGGTAAAACGGGAGGAAATCTCGAGCGGGAGCGCTGCTTTTGTTAGGACGGCGGCTTTCTGCGTCGAGCAAGAACACCAGCCCTGGGACAAAAACGAGGAAGTCTCGAGCGAGAGCGTTGTCGTTGTTGGGGGGCCGTTTTGGGCGGTCCCCCAAACCGCTCGAACGTGAGCCTCATTTTCAATGAACATGTAGCCGGCGCCTCGGCGAGAGCGCCAGGGCGTCTATCAGGGGTCCAACAATAATAATTGTTTAGTAATTATCATTCAACAGCAACAACAACAGCAGCAGCAACAACAAAAACGACAACAACAACAATGCAACAAGCAGAATTCTCACCACGAATTCCCTCTTCAGCCACGCACCCAGGGACAATGAATGACCGTTCGGCCCCCTCACCCTGATCTCCCTGGGGCTTCGGACCCTCGGTGAGGGGGCTCGTGCTCTTGAGCCCGCATCGCGCATCCCTCGGCTGCACACTTATCATGTGATGCTAGAAGCTCCCCTGGCCCAAGGTGCCCCCCAAGATTCCCAATGAGGCGCCCACGGCCTCCTGGGCACCCCTCAGGAGGCCAAGAGCCCAACATCGAGCGAAAAGCTGGGACACCTTGAGCCAGGGACACCTTTAGCAACCCTCGAACACGCCTTGGGGTGAACCGAGGGGGTCGTCACGGAAGGGGATGGTCTGCCAGGTGTCGGTCATACCGCCCCCGAGGGGGGGGAAGACGGGGGTCGACTCCACGCCACTCGGGATCGCAGGGGCCAGTGGCCCCTGGTTAGCCGTCATCGCGCTGGCCCCCGTCGCGAGCGCCCCGGACCGCGCGGGCGCGTGTTGCCTCCGGTGCAGGCGGGGGTCCACGTGGGGTGTGCGGGGAGTGCGCCGAGGGTAAAGAGACCCAGGGAGACACAAATAAACGTTCACAAATTTCAGAAGGATTCCCCTGATGTTTTCATGATCATGTTCTCGTGGTTGTTGACTTCCCCATCCACTTCCCGTATGTTCCCACGCGTTCCTGGAGATGGACGTTCCTGTGCGTCTATGATGTTTATTTGTGCCTGTGTCTGTGTCTGCGGGGTGCCAGGCAGAGGGCGATAATCGCACCATGGCCCGAGGAGTGCTCGCACGGAGGGGGGGCCAGAGGACGTGCGGAAGGAGGCTGAGGGGGCCACGACATCTGGGAGAGCCAATGGCCCCGGCCATGATATCCACACACCCCTGCAGCCATCGTGCTGCCACACAACAAGGAAGGAAGGCGCCTTTCCGGCGACGGCAGGCCCAGGGCCTAGGCCACAGACAGGTTCCAGGACATGTATCTGATGAACAGCCCGAAAACCCGAGCCCCTCCGGAGCCCAAGGCGGTCCTTCTTTCAGCGTCTTCGACGTATTCCTTACAGCCCCTCTCTGACGCCTCCGAATGTGGGGCCCACGCCACGGCGTCGTGGCGCGGCCTGACCCTGGCAGGCGGGGTACCGTCTTGGATCCGTGAGCGCCGACTGGAGACGGCCAAGCATTCAAAGTCTGCTGGCCCCTTTGTGGGCGCCAGGTGGTGTTCAAGCCTGCCGGGTTCATGCCCAATTGGTGCTCAATGTCGTGCCTGCCAGCCCAGCCCACTGACGCCACAATACCCCCAAAGGCCCCAAGGCCCACCGGGCCCCCAAGCCTGGGCCAGCCCGCGGGGGATTGAACCGGAGTGGCTGACACCCTCTCAACGCTCGAGGTGAAATCGCACCGCCGCGGACCCCCCACCCCCGGCAGGCCCGGGGCCTCTCGCGCCTCGTCCAGCTTCCTCTTGGCCCTGGTGGGGTGCCTCAGGGCCTGCAGCTCCACCTGGCACGCACCCGAGCCTCTCAATCCAAGCGCGTCGACGCCCCTCTGTGGGCGTTTCTCTTCTACTTCCGCCTGCCCCTGCCAAGCTTCCGCTGGCGGACCCAACGCCGCTGTCTGGCATGGAGCACACGGATCACTCGGGAAGCGGGCCCTGGAACCCGAAGTCCTCCCCCAAGACCACCTCTTCATCCCGCGTCGTTTCCTGACCGCCCTGGGGCCCGTGGGGGGCCACGGGCCTCCGAAAGCGACGAAACATCTCTCAAACCCAGAATACGTGCAGGCGCGTGCGCACGAACACAGAGGGGAGGGGGAAAAGGGAGGAAGACGAGGACGGGAAAAGGACAAGGACGATGGCTGTGTGGCAAAGTGGCCACGCGCTCACTCTTGAGCACGAGCCCTGGCTGGACTCGTGCTGTCACGGCGCGCAGCACCACGGCTGCGCGCTTTTTCGGCGCGCTCGCTGACCCATCAACCCTCGCCGAGGCCGAGAGTGCCTTCAGGGAGCGAAGCGGGGTGGGTGGGCAACCCCGTGGCTCGAGCCCCACGGCTGCGGAGCCCAAAATGGGCAAACCACAGTCCCCACTCCCGCCGCGCACAAGCTGCAGTCTCAACATGCAGGCGCGTGTGCACTAACACAGAGGGGAGGGGGAGAAGGGAGGAAGACGAGGACGGGAGAAGGACAAGGATTATGGTTTTGTGGCAAAACGGCCACGCGCTCACTCCTGAGCACGAGCCCCGACTGGATTTGCGCTGTCACGGCGCGCAGCACCACAACTGCGCGCCCTTTCGGCACGCTCGCCAGCCCATCGGCTACCATCAGAACAAATCAAAAACGAATGGCCACTTGCCTGCAACCGTGAGGCCTTCCCAGGAGAAAGCGGGGCCGCTTCGGCGACGCTCGACAGCCGCCAAGCTGCCGAGTGCGAAAAGGTGCTGCGCACCAACAAGAGAAGTAAGGAGTGAAAAGGAGAAACAGGAGCGTGCCCCGCTGGGCAGGTGCAGGGCCGCCCAGGTCGCGGGCGCCGAGGGCGCCGCTGGGCTCCTCCTCGGAGCCCCGGGGGCCCGGTGCCTCCCATCTTCCGGCTCGCGGCCCTCAAGCCGGGGCCGCGTCCGGCGCCTGAGAGACGCGGGTCCGGCGGCGCGCAAACCAGGGCAGCGTGGCGGCCACCCTGCCATCAGAGCAACAAAAAACCGCGCCGCGGGCCAGCTGGGCCCGCCCCTGCGGGCGCCACGCTGGCGGTCGAGAGCTGCCCATTTCATTGGGACTTTCCAAGGCGCGGCCTGGCCAGCACGCCGCAGCCCCCGCGCGGCTCGCAGCGGCAGGCCTCCACGCAGCGGCTGGGCCCGCGTGCCTTGGCGGCAAGAGGCCGCCAGGCTAAGTGCAAAAGGAGCAAGCTGCCACGACGCGCCAACGCTGGCGCTGCAAGAGCGACCCCGCGCAGCGCAGAAGCTGCGGCCGCTTGCGCCAAGAGAAGCGAAGACCTTCCCAACGCGACCGTGGCCGCGCAGCGCTGAGGCTGAGGCTGAGGCAGGCCGAGGCTGAGGCTGAGGCTGAGGCAGGCTGATGCCGAGGCAGGCTGAGGCTGAGGCTGAGGCTGAAGCATGCTGAGACTGAGGCAGGCTGAGGCCGAGGCCGAGGCCGACGGCAGGCTAAGGCTGAGGCTGAGGCATGCTGATGCTGAGGCAGGCTGAGGCTGAGGCTGAGGCTGAAGGCAGACTGATGCTGAGGCTGAGGCAGGCTGAGGCCGAGGCTGAGGCAGGCTGAGGCTGAGGCAGGCTGAGGCTGAGGCAGGCTGAGGCTGAGGCTGTGACTGCGACTGCCGTTGCCGCTGCGACTGTCATCGCGAATGCGACTACGACTGCGAGAACACCAGAATTCTACAACTGGGTTCTCATCTGAATCTTAAGGGGAATGCTTCCAGATATGCTCCTACACATCGCTGTTAGGTTGCTTTGCCGGGATAATTTAACATGCAAGAATTTCTGAAATCTTGGGCCTCCGGGCCCTGCGCCCCCCCACCCCCAGGCCTCCACGCCCCAAACCACGACAGTTCTCCCTTTGGAACCCTCCGCGCCGTAATTTCCTGCCCCGGATCGACCCGCGCCCGCCCTCCTGGCCGCGCGCCCCCCTCGCCCCGGCACCCCCGCGCCGCAGAAGATCTGTTCTCGGGGCCCCCGGGCCGCCGCGCTCCGCCACGCGCCGCAATTTCGCGCCCAGAACCGGCCCGCGCCCCCCTCCTGCCCCCCCCCCCCGGCCCCGGCATCCGCAAACCACGGGAGCTCTGTTCTCGGGCCCCCCCACGCCGAAATTTCCTGCCTAGGATCGACCCGCGCCCGCCCCCCCCCCTGGCCCCCCTCCTCGCCTCGGTGCCCCCAAACCACGGAAGCTCTGTTCTTGGGGCGCCTTCTAGGGCCGCGCGGCGCACCTCGCCGCCAGGTCAGAACTCAGGGCTGGCTCCAGTGCCAGCGCAGTCGAGGTTGTCGGCGCCAGCGCCGACGCCGGCGCCGGCTCGGACGACGGTGCTGCTGCGGGCGCCAGCGTTGGCGTATACGACGTAGTTGCTGTCGTCGGTCGTACTGCTCGCATCCGAGCGCCGCCCCCCGTGCGCCCGCGGGCCTCCGTCCTCGCTGAACCCAGCTGGACTTCCGAGCCTGACGACGGCCTGCATATCCTGCTCGCCTTCCTGGGCACGCGGGGCCGCTGGGGCCTCGCCCTTGCGGCCGGGCCCCTCGCGGCGGCGCGGGCGGCGGCGCGGGCGGCGGCGCCGTCTCTCCCAGGAGCGGCTCGTGCCCTCGTTGAAGGAGGCATCGGCGTAGTCCTCGCCTCTGGAGCTTCGCTCCCAAGGCTGGCCTGCTCGCGGCCGGCGGCGGCGCCTCTGACGGCCCCGCCAGCGCACGCGGCGGCGGCAGCGACGGCCGGGGCGACGCGTGCCCACCGCAAGCATGGGGGCTCCGCCCCGAGGGCCGGCCCCCTCGCGACTGGGCCCAGCGGGGCGCCTGGCGGCGTCGGCGGCGGCGAGAGCGCGGCCGAGGTCGTCGGCCACTCTGGCCCAGCCTCTGGCGACGCTGGCGCGGTGGACGCCGGTGTAGGCGAGGTCGCGGCAGACGAGGTCGTCAGCGTGCCAGGTCGTTGTCGCGCGCGGCCCTCGAAGCGCGCCAGCGCAGTCCTCGCTGAGCCCAGCTGGGCCCTGGTGCCCAGTGGAATTCCGCGCGCCCCGCTCGCCCCCAGTGGCTTGCAGGGGGGGGTCCGCGCGGTTCGTCCAATCGTTCTCCGCGCCTCTCGCCAGGACCCCGCGACGTCGCGCAACCCGGTGCCGCCCGCCTCTTACACGTCCTTCTCGCCATCGTCGTGCTCCTGATCCTCGCCCTCCGCTTCCTGCTCGCCTCGTGGCCAGGCTCTGCCGCCGCCCCGCCAGAGACGACCGCGGCCGGCAGGGCCCCTGCCCCACCGGCGGCCTCGACCGCGGCCTCGGGCTCGTCGAGGCGGGCCCACAGACGCTCGCAAGGCTCTGCCCCGCGGGCGAGGCTATCCACGCGCCGCGCCGCACATTTCGCCCCGTCGGTGCACTCGCCCACCTGGATGCTGGTAGCCCTCCTCCTCCTCCTCCTCCTCCTCCTCCTCCTCCTCCTCCTCCTCCTCCTCCTCCTCCTCCTCCTCCTCCGCCTCCCCCTCCTCCTCCTCCTTTCCTTCGCTCCTCCTTCGGCGCGCGCTCCTCCTCCAAGGGCGCCATCCCCCTGCCGCGCGACGGCCCTCCTCTGCCTCCGTGACGCGGCCCTGACGAACGCCCCCTGGCTGCGCCCCAGCTCCGACTCCAGCTCCAGGACGCGCGCCTGACGCCTAATGTCACTGCGGGTGAAAACGACGATCCGCCGCTCCGCCGGGGTCGGGCCCCTCGCCCTGGCCGCCTCGTCAAGCTCCGTCTCAGCCGCGTGTCCGCGCCCCCGCTCTGCGTCGGCGCGCCGCCCCAGGGCGACGCGTTGAGACCGGCCCGCGGCCGCCCTCTCCGGGGCGCATAACACGCCTCGCCCACCCAATACTGTAAGTGAATACTCCCTTCGGCCAGATCGACCTCCAGCCAGCGACCGTGCCGCTCGGCTACCGTGACGGCGATGGCCAGCCAGGCAACGGTCAACCAAGCGAGATCAGCGAAGCCAGCGCCTCCGAACGATCCGCCACCCTCCCTTCCGGAGCTGCCGCCCCCGCCGCCGCCCGAGGGGGGCGCTGAAGGCATGGCCTCGTTCGGGGCCTTGCCTGGCGTGCCCCGGGGGGCGTCGGACCCGCCGCTGGCTGGCTTGTCCGACCCGCCCCGCTTGGCCAGCGCGCCCCGAAGCGGCGGCCTGGGCTGCGAGGGTCCGCTCTCTCCAGGCTGACCCGCGACGCCTCTCATCGAAGGAGAAGGGCGGGCCGCTGTTCGGCCCCGCGCCCCCCTCGCTCGGGGCTGGGCCCGGGCCGCGGCGGGGCGGCGGCGGGCCGGGCGCGAGCGGCTGGGCGCCGCGTGGCTGGCCGTCAGACCCGCCCGACGCCCCCGCCTTAGCCTTCGCCCCGGCAGGCCCGGGGCCGGCCGGTCGCCGGCCCCCCGCCCCTGTCCTGGGGCCCCCTGTAGTCGTGGAAGAAGTCGTGCTCCTCCCCGTAGTCGTAGGAGGGGTCGTAGGAGAAGTCGCAAAAAAAACGCGATCCACTTCGCCTCCGCCGCCGCCGCCTCCGCCGCGGCTGGCGACTTGGCAGCAATCTCCAAACGCCTCGTAGCGACGGAGCCTGGCGCGTCCAGCGCCAGTACTCCAGCTCCTCGATGACGCTGCCGCCGACGCCGAGGACTGACCCAGCGGGCGCGTGCGGGACCGTCCCGGTGAGCTTGAAGTCGCAGGACCGGTCGGGCTCGCTTCTGGCTGGCTTGCTCGACCCAAGCTCCCCATCCAGCGCTGCCACTCGCTCCCCGAAGAGCGCGCGCCTCGTTCGGGAATCCCTCCCCTGCCGAGCTGACCTCCACATCGGCTGTAGCATGCGCGGAGCCCTCGCTCGGTGCTGGGCCCGCGCCGCGTGGCGGCTACAGGCCTGGCACGGACGGCTGGGTTGGCTGAGGCTGGCCGCTCGGCCCGCCCGCCACCCCCACCTTTGTCTCCGCCCCGGCAGGCTTGAGGCTGACCGGATGCCAGCCGGCCCCGCCCCTGTCCCAAGCGCTCTGGAAATTGAGGGCTCGCCCGCAGGGGACGCGCTGGGCTGGTCAGGCTCGCCGTCCGCTGGCTTGCCTGACCCGCGCTGCTTCGGCGAAGCTGGCCCTTCGCCGCCTTCACGGCGGGGGGCTGGCCCTTCGCCCCCTGTTCCGCCGGGGGCCCGGCTGGCCCGGGGCTGACCGCAACTCGGCCCCCCACCCACGCCGGCGCCCGCCATGGGTTGCGACGCTGGCGGCTCGCCGTGTGGATCACCACCTGCCCCCACACGTCCATGGTGCACGGCGGGCTCGGGGCTGGCTGCTGCCTTGCCCCCCGCCCCCATCCCGGCACCCTTCGTAGATGTAGAAATCGAAAAAATCGCGGTGAAGGCCCGCGCCGCAGCGTGCACACCGGGGAGACGACGGCGGCACGCGCGATCAGCGTCCATGGCGACATGGCAGGCTCCGCGCGCGGCCCCCGCACACGTGGGAAAGCGTATAATTTCGGCCGACAGGCCCACCGGCACAACCCCGTGGCTCGAGCCTCACGTTTGCGGAGCCAAAATGGGCAAACCAAAGTCGACACTCCTGCCGCACATAACCTTCATTCTCAACAACCAAGCTATACAATTTCCACAAGGACTCGCCAACCGCCGCCGCCCCAAGAATGGATGGGGTGGGGAGAGATGGGCGACCAGCGAAAGGGCGGCCAAGAAGGACGAAGGGGATGGCACTAGACACGGGAGCTGGCTGCGTATGAAAACGTCGCAGTCCGCAAGGGGAGGGGGAGGGGGATGAGAGAGAGGATGAGTCAGGTCGGACGAAGGGGAGCCAGAATAACTAAAGGTGGCGTCAGCGAATCACGTAGCTGATTCTCCCGGCGACTCCTGGCGCCAGGAAGCGCCAATGTTCAAGGGGAAAGGCGCCTTTTCCCTGTTCCCCACTTATCGCGCAACCAGAATTGAGACTCTGAGTCGGGCTCCACCAGCTCGGCACTGGCGAAGTGAGGCAATATACGGTGAATCACCGGGCGGGCAAGTAATCAATGCTGATTGCTGCGCCTTCTCCACGCCATCAAGGTCTGCCCCGGCTCTTGACAACTCGTCCCTGGGGTGCGCCATTACAAAACATGGCATCGACATACATATTAGTAGATCCGAGATGTAACTTCCGCCGCATGTGGAGAAGGAGGAGGGGATGGAGGAAGCTGAGGGGAGGCTCTCCTGTTGTTCTCGTATTGCCTGTTTCCGCCCACGGCGAAAAGGCAGCAGCTGAGGGTCCTGTAGACGCGACCCTGGACGGAGATCCCACCAGACTCCAGGCAACCACCGACTCATTCCTCTTCATCGTTGTCGTCGTCGTCGAACGCTCCGTCCGAAGTCCTCGGAGAAGGGGGAAGGGAAATCGGGACGAGAATGGAGGAAGCAGAAGGGCAAGGGACGGAAACCGCCATATCAACAGACAAAGGAGGAGACAGGGACCGAACGGCGAGGGCAGGGGGAGGGAGGCCAGGGAAGCCGCTGGAAGTCGAATCAGACCTTCTCGCTCCGGGCTTCGCGTTGAGCGCGGTCACCCTCGCGCTCCCACGGCGCCCCCTGGAGGTGCGGAACTCCTCGCACCCATAGGTCGGAAAGAGTGGGGAGAACCAGAAAGAGGGAAGGCGATGAAGATGGGAAGGGGGGGAAACCCGGTCGACTCTTGAAGAAGTAAGAAGGAAGGCGCCTAAAGCAGATTGAGATCTGGGAGTCCAAAAATGCCTACTTTCAACGACCCATGGGTACCTGGACCGCGCAGCGCGTGCTTCGCGCTGCGCGGAACGCGGCCACCTGCGCGCTTTCGCGCCGCCCACCGGAGATGGACGACTCCTTCGCCCCCAGACTGCGAGGACTAAGCGAAAGGGAGGTCACCCTCGCGCTCTCGCGCCGCCTCCTGTCGGGGAGCCGTAAAGACTCGGGTTTGGGGGGAGCCTGGTCGCCAGGAAAATGACGTGACGTAGTCAGAAATCTGACGCGGGCTCTGGCTGCAAGCATCTCACGAAAATCGAACTTCCAAAATGGGGGCACGATTTTTGTACAACATCCCCACGGACAAGCTGGCCTGGCTCAGTACCGTGGAGCGGGGGCGGGGGCTGTGTACAAAAATGGCATCGCTTAGGGGCAGCACGGTTTTTGTACACCACCCCTAAAAACAAGCTGGTCTACAAAATGCACGCGCGGGGGCGGTGGCCATAAATTGGCCCCGACCCCAGGACCATCAAACACCGGCGGCTGACCCGAGTCCTGGCAGACTCCAGTCTTACGTTTCCCCGATCCAGGAGGTGGGGAACTCCTCAGCCCCAGACCGCGATCGCGGGGACGCGTTGTTTACAGTAGGTTCGTGCAGCGTCGGCGCACGCAAAACTTCTGGACACCGTGTCGATCGGTTAACCGTGAATCGATTGCGGCGCCGATCGTTCAAGGATGAATTCAATCGGGTCCAATGGCATTACCGTGTCCATCGGTGCATCCGCGACGCAGAATTCAACCTTGAGCGCCGACGTCATGATTTTGTCCATGACGTCGACCCCCAGAGGTTTCGACCCATTCCCCAGGACCAGCTTTTCATCCTTAATCGTTTTTTGACGGCCCTGGGGACCGGCGAGGGCCCCCCGAGCTCAAAAATAGCGAACAAACTTCCGGCGTGGTTTTTTGATGACTCGAAGGAATCTGGGGACTCGGAGCACCCAAAAAGCCATGCCGCGAACCCTGGCCAACCGCGCAGTATAGCTCCAAAACCGGGTCGACGGAGTCCATCGGGATCGCGGGGGGGGGGGCTGGCTGAGAGACCCCGTGAGCGCTAAGCCCTTCGTTAGCGTGCGCCCCGAACCGCGCTCGGGCGTTGCATAATGGACGGGGGGCAATCGACCAAACCCTCTCGAGTCATAAAACAAATCAAGACGGGAAATCTTTCACTATTTTCGGGCTCTGGGGGCCCTCGCCCGGGCCCCAGGGCCGTCAAAAACGACCGAGGATGAAAAAAACGGTCCTGGGGAATAGGTCGAAACCTCTGGGGGTCGAAGTCATGCAAAAGTCATGACGTCGGGGGTCTGGGAACGGGGGGGGGGCCAGAAAGGTACGGTGGGGGCGTTTGACAAGGAATTTGCCCAGGAGGCTTCAGATCCTCGAGGATTCCTCATCTGATGGGGGCGGCAATGATATACGTGGCCAAACCTCATTTGGCGCTCCTCCGGCTTCAAGACCATGTATTCCTCGTCTAAGTGTCCCTCACGCAATGCCCTCACCGTACACCCTTCTTGTACCGTCGGGGTCTGTGACCGCCGCTCCACCCCCCCCACCCCCCACCCGCCGGCCCCCATTCGGCCGATTCGAGAGACCCTGAACCCCAAGGTATTGGGATCTCTCAGGGGCGCATCTTGTACTTCCGCCGCCTTCCGCAGGCCCTCCGCTGGCGGAGGCAGCCTCGTTTTGCTTCCGCCGCCTTTCGCTGGCCTTCCGCCGACCTCCGCCGAGGAAGAGCAGCCAACTCCTTCGATCCTCGAAGGAGAAGCCCTTTCTGGAACGCCCAATTTATGAGGAGCTTTTCGGCCTCGATTGGCAATGGGCGATTGGGGGGTCGATGCATCCCCCGTCTATGCCTATCCCCCCTATCCCCCGACCTTATCGCCTTTCGATACGAAACGCCGAAACGCCCGACGCGCAAGCGCACCTTTGCCTCCAGGAGGCGGGGGGGTAGTGCATGGCCCGCCTGCTTCAGCGAGGAGAGCGCGGCCTCTCTCTCCAGGCCCACGGAGCCCTCGGGAGCGGGCGCTCGTCGGGCTTCTACTGGCCCGGGTCACGCAAACCCAGGTCAGTCAAGCGTTGCAGGATCCTGCAGGATCCTGCAGGATCCGGAAAAATGCTGCAAGCAACCCAGGTCCGTGCAACCCCTGGCTCTCCATGATCCTGCAATATCCAGCGCGCTGACCCCCGAGTGCATTGACCCTCGTCTCAAGGCTCCCGATCTCGCGGCGGTGGAGCGGAGCCGGCGTGGGAGCGGGAGGGGCAGGGGACTGCTGGGAAGGGGGGCGATCGACAATTCGACGAGGGTCGAGTGCCGGATGCTTTTGAGCATTCTTGGCCATCTTCAGCCTTCCAGGGGCATCCTGGTGGCCACGGCTGGATGCGTCTCGAAATTGTGGTCAGAACTCACCCACGGACAGGTCCGGGGGTCGTCGCCGTCATCGTCGTCGTCGTCGTCGCCGTCGTCGCGAAGTTTTGCACTTGGCCCCCGAGGATCGAGGAGAACAGTTTTTGGACTCCTGAGCGTTTGGGTCCTTTTTGGGCATTCGGCGCGTTTGGGGTCCTTTTTAGGGTCTCCGGGGGCCTTTGGAGGCCTCTGGGGACCTCTAGGGGTAAGGATCTGGACGGAAGCAGGCCCCACCAGGGAACATGGCAGGGAGCACAGGGGGTAAGAGGTCAGACGGCCTCCCTGTCCCAGTCCTCCTCCCGCTCCCAGTGCTGCCGTTCTCCCCGCCGCTGCTGCTCCTGCAGTCCAAGACATCCGATGGATTGGCCGTTTCAATCTGCAAGCCCCAGAGGTCTTGACCCTTCCGCACCAGATTCATTTTGATGGCTCCAGGGCCCGACGACGCCCCCAGTGGGTCGAATTGAACGAAGAGGGGGAGGAAGTGGGCAGAGGAAGAGAGACGAGAACGAGTATCATAAAGTTTTTGGGGGCTGGACTCCTTTCCAGAATAGATGCGCCAGGCCCACTGGTCACTGGCGCTGGGAGTTGCTCGGGAGGGAGCTGGGCAGAGCCTATGCTGAATCTTCCTCGTTCTCCCCTTTCCCCTTTCCCCTCCTCTACCTCATGGTTTCCCTTCTCATCTCTTACTCTTCCCCACTCCCCCCCCCCTCTCCCTCCCCCCCTCGCACCCTCCCCATCTCCCTCCCGTTTCTTTTCCCCTCCTCCTTCTCCTCCTCCTCCTCCTCTTCTTCGTTTTCCTCCTTCCCTCCTCCGCCACTGCAAGCTTTAGAGCCTGATCGGGTGGATACACAAGGTTTGCCGCGATGCCCGACGTGGACCGTACGTCGGCCACCTCGCCCTGCAATGAAACGTTGCGGCATCGAGTGCGTCAAGGCGTCATGACTCGGCCTCTGCTGGTGTCATGCAAACATCACAGCCGGTGCAAATAAGAAGGCGTCTCCAAACGCATAACACAACAAGCGCAAAGAGCAACCAAACTTGGTGAAACTCGTATGGCCTCTTCGACATGGTCGTTCAAAGCACCAGCCTGGACTGCAAAACCAAATACATCAAATAGTTTGCGACGGGGATGTTTGCAATCGCGCGAGCACTATCGGAGTGATGTGGGAGAAGGCGGGATGTGGCAAGACGCTTTGATGCTGTATGTTGTCGGATAAGTTGACCTTGCGTGCCTCACAAAAAATACCGTTATGCTCGTAGCAACGCGTTTCTGGTCCCGGCATCTGACAAACATAGCCGAATATGGATTGCACCCAGGCGGCAGGAGACCCGAACCAGCATGACTGATTATGCAAGATAACCGCAGACTGCACCGTGCATGCTGGAAGCCATGCGGGAAACCATACGGGAGACCACGGGCCACCGATTCCAGATGCGGATGGACCCGTAGGGGAAAGCTATTTCGGAACCATTAGAAGTCGAACACGTGTCGCACGCGTTCGCATTGATGTCAAAATGTTCGTACGGGTGTACGCAACGTCTACGAAACAAACAACGCATGTATTCCGTAGTGCGTAGATATATCCGCCACCGTGCCTCAAACAGATCGTGGTGTGTCCTCAGGTCCCATCGAGCTCTGTATCTTGGAGAGGCCCCAGACCCCAACTCACGGATCTCCTGGGAATTCCTGGGGCGCTCCGCGTGATTTCTCCAAATTTTCTCGATGCCCAAAATCATTAGAGAAGCCGTGCGTGTTTGTTTGAAGTGTTCTCAGCCCCAGAGAGTGGACTCCAACATTGTTGAACGAACCCCCTTGTGCCTCGATGTCTCCAAAGACCGGCAAGAGGCCCCAACGATGCAGACAGACTGCTAAGCGGCAAATAGGCCCCCACCAAGCCGCCAAGAGGCCCAATTACATCGGCCCAATGAAAGTTCCTTGAATGTTTGTCACATCGCTCGCTCGCGGAAGCGGACGGAAGTAAAACGAGGCGAAAGACGGCGGAAGGCGGTCGGAAAGCTTGCGGAAGACAGGGGGAAAAATGACGCCACGTCCGAGAACCCCTCCCCCCCGGAGAAGCCTAACAATGTAGTATTCTGCCGTGGGCCGGGCGGGATCCCGCTTACTCCCCTTTAGTATCATCATTTTAGTTCAGCCAGGCTAAAATCTCACCCAATAGAAATTGGGTAAACAAGTATCCTGGGTCGTTCACAGATCCGGCCATGCTAGGGTCGGCTCGAAGAAAGTTTGGGCCCCGACGTTGTAGCATGCCTAGCGTGTCAGGGTCGTCTTGAAGTCATCTTGGGATCATATATCGGTCATGTTTGGACGGCTGCGCGTGTCCATTCTGAGGCCACCCTGGGCGCGCGTGGATCCATCTTGTTGCCATCGGGCCATCTCGGCGTCACTCGTGGCTCCATTGTTTGGTCATTTTCGGGTCGGCCTGAGACCGTCCAGAATCCATGGTGGGATCGTGTTGGGGTGGCGTCATCCCAGGGTCGGCTTGACGTTATCGCCTTTGGCCTCAGGCCCTCCTGGAACCATTTTGCAGCCGTGGGGGCGTCTTGGGATCTCGCGCGCGCGAGCGCTCAGCACGCGCGCGCGCGACAACTCATCTCGCCGATGGGCGTACACTCATATACTTCTTGCTGCAAGTTTCCACAGAAACTGTTGCCAAGTATGTCTCCCAGAGGGCCCGAACATACATGACAAACCAAGAGACATCAAAGAAGGGCCTGCCTGAGAAAACAGGCGCAGTGGCACGGTGGGCCAACTGCCACCTGATCCGCCGCCCCCTGTTGCCTGCAGGAGAGGTTGCCTGCAGCCGTGGAGGCTTACAGCCTGAACCCTTCCATCCTATTTCACAGCGGGGTCTCGGCCGATCCCGCCGGCCATCCGGAAAAAGCGGAAAAGCTGACAAGCTCGCTCCAAGATGGCTCCAATGAGACCCAAGAGGTTCCAAGAGGCCTCCAAGTTCGCCCAAGGTCTCTCCAATACGGCCCAACACGAGGTCCCGCAGAGGACCCCATGAGGCCCACGGCAGGCCTAAATAATGCTTCCCGTATCTTCCTTCTCCTTATCCTCCTCCTCCCTCCCTCGCTCCCTCCCTCCCACTCGTTTTGTGTGTATATATACAGATATATGTATATGTATATGTATAGATATTCACACGTATGCTTTTGCATACATTATATATAGATGTCTCTTTCTCTCTCTCTCTCTCTTCTTTTGTTTCTCTGTCTCTCTCTGTCTCTTCTCTATTCCCCTTCGAAGCCCCCCCGAAGGGTGTCCACAACGGATCGGGGAACACATCGTCCAACAGCTTTGTCGCTTCCACACGGCAAGTGGCGGCGGTGATTCGCCGTAAGCGTCTTCGACACGTGTGCCCTGCGAACGTTGTAGCATGTACTCATGCAGTACTGCAACAGTCTACCAGGTGGAATACATCCCAACGTGCCTCATCGTATACACATCACAGCTTGCACCACGCAACAAAGCACATCGCCGATATTCTAAACGCACGGCGCAAGAGATCACTCGTTCGGCCCACAGACGCGCCAAACCCGATTGAAGGCTTGCCGCGACCAGATAAAATACATTCGACCTGCCCCGTCTCAGCGTAGGCCTCCTCAATCAACAAAGCGGGCTCGTGAACATGGGGATCCAGTGCCGCAGTGACTCCCCATGGTGTCGGCGATGCATGCGCGACACTTGGTTTTCATAAACTGGATCCCCAATACGCACCGCATGAACCGGATCCCCAACACGCACCACATAAAACCGAATGGGTTGCGATACATCGGCGATGAGATATGAGCTGGTAGCACATTTACCCCGAACCATGTAACGAGCTCCAGATTGACTCCCCTGCGCAACTCGGTACCAACGACGCCTAGATCGGCATCTCTTGGAACATCGGCCGTCCAATCCCCTCCTAGACGGCCTGATCCCAGCCTGCACTTCGGTCCGAATCGAATATCGGCGCCGAGGCGGCCCTCGAACATCATGGACAACAAACGTGCGCAACGACATGGCAGACGCGTGAAGCCGTCTCCACTCCTCAGCCTAGTCCTCTTCCCCGAGTCTCGGTTCCCCCATGGCCTCCTTGTTCGCTACGCCAGCCTGTCGGTAGGCGCTGGTCGCCTCCTCGGCTGCTCTCACCGCTTCCGCCGCGTTACGTTCCTGCTCGGGGGGCTCGTAGGCGGATCCCCCCCTGGTGCTCAATTGCGCTCTGTGTCTGTTGCCCAAAAATCGTGGAGCGATCAAGTGCGACTGCCAATCTACCCGACGCCGCCCAGACAACCCCTCTCAAGCTCTTGATATCTGGAAGTTGGTAACCCCATAGAACTGCAACACTGCCCCGTCTTACAACATACGGCAGCCTCATGTGATATCCGCTCTGCGTGCAGGGACATACTTCAACCCTGCAAGGTGCCCGCATCAACTACTACGTGGCCATTGATAGGTAGCGCGCCAAACCGAAGAAAAGCGGTAGGAATAGCGCCTGCTGTCACAGCCACGTCTACCTGACCTCGAACACCAACGCGCCGCTTGGGGTGTGATGCAATTCTCGAGCGATTGAGTGTACGAGCGAAAGCCGACAACTTTTGTGCCAATCCCAATGCAAACGTTCACTTAGACGGCGGTCCCGGAGCACCCCATCAGGTCCTGACTGCCACCTTGTATGTGGCCCGCTTCTCGACAGAGGGGGTCATTCATCGCGCTCCCGCATTCGACTCAGACCTTTTCAAATTACTGGGGAGGGTGGCGTACGGCGCCTGCCCGCGATAACAAGACATTCGACAATCGCGGTAGACAACGAGGTCTGCTAATAGGGTCAATCGGTTACTGCTCGCTTGCGCCGCATTTTACCAATGACTTCAACCATGCAGACAAGAGGCGCGCAATCAACTGACAAAGATGCAATACACTTCCGGCCAAACCTGCTGATTTGATTATCCAACCAATGGACAGGTCTGGGTGTCACATAGCGGTGAGAGCGGCAGATTGTGGCACAGAGGAGACATGTATATACATGAAGAGGGAGGGAGACAGAGGCTCATGTCTAGCTCAAATGCAGAAAGAGAAAGATAGAGCGAGTGATAGAGATGGTCACACGCGTTATTGACATGCATGCATATAAGTAGAGACAGCCAGAAAGAGAACGAGCTGCATGTATCTCGATATCGGTCCTGCATGAGCTGGGACAGCTCCAGCCACACTTGCGCCGCCTCGAGGTGATGTTTGTGGCTTGTTCGAGCAACGGCACGTGATGTGGAAGGAAAAAACGTGAACCGACAATGGAAAGTCGCCATGCTCTCACGCGCGAGCGCGGTCTTCTACATGCAGCTGGATTCTGGAGGACGTCGAATGCAGACATCGGCCGTCCGTATCAAGACACATGGGGGCTTTATGACCGAGCGGCACAGGAAGCGAAGATCAATGACAACCTGACCTTTCACTCTCTTGTTTTCATTCGAGGCCTCGTGGGCTAACAGCATGTTGTGTTAGTTGGCCCGTGGGTCCTTCTTCGGGAGTTCCGGGGGCCTCTGAGGGTCAGGTCGGGCCCGTCTTGGGAGGACCTTTGAGCCTCCTCGGATGTTGGGATTCTCTTTGGTAGGACTTCTCCGTTCAGTGATCATCCTGATCAATATTCCGGCAGTTGTGAAGCCCTCCAGGATGATCTTGGACAGAAGAGCGCGGGTGCCTCACGCATTGAGGAATGCTAGACATTCCATATGTGCACCCAGCGAGTCAAGCTTTCACGGCCTCCTAGGGGGTTTCTTCTGGGCCTCTTGGCCTCTATTAGGGGTCACTTGGGGCTGTCCGGGGCCGCCAGGGGGGTTCTCTCGGGTCATCTGGGGCAGTCCTTGGTTGTCGTTTTCGGCTATTACGCAAGAGTGACCCTAGGCAAGAGTGCCCTTTGGTGTGCGGCTTGCCGATCGCTGCATGCAGTGCAACAATGTGAGCCTGTGCGAGCGTGCTTGACCCTCCCGCGCCCTCCAAAAGCCGCGCACCAAAGGCCACTCCGGCGAAGGGCGACTCTTACGTTCAGCCGATGAATTTTGCACACCCGGCCCAACATGCCATGTCGGGCCGGGCGAGCCCTGGGGCCATGACAGGGAGGCTTTCTGGGGGCCAGCCTGCGTGCAAATTTGAAACCTGGTGGGGAAGCGCTCCCCCCCCTTATCCTGACCCAAACTCGGCTACACGTAAGAGCGACCATGGAAAAGAATGACCTTGGGTGCGCGACTTTTCGGGGGACGCGGGGTGCCCATGCCCAGGCGCATAAGCCGCTGCTACCGCTTCGCGTTCAGCGATCGGGGGAGCCCATTCGGCCCGCACCAAAGGTCACTCCGGCGAATAATTAGTCGTACGTGTAGTCGACACACCGACTTGTGACAAGCGGCCAGACGAACCGGGTCGGGTCCTGACCACCGCTCTTGTAACACACGCACTACCAGGTCGACGCCGCGGCCGCGCGGGGTCTATACTGCTAATTCGAGAGGTACGGGACAACGCCGACCCTTGCAAGGCACGAGCGCAAGCCCACCAAATCTCATCCGGGCCCTGGTGGCATTTCTGCTCAGCAAGGTCGATGCACGCCTGCCGGGTGCCCTTGTCGGTACAGACCTACCGCGCAGACCCGACAGGTCCTGCAGTCTTGCGTGACCGCCCGCCCCACTGGAACACGCCACAACGGGCGAGCGGCCCGACGCATTAAGCCCCGCCAGTTCCGCGCCGAACCTCAGGCAGAACTGGAAGGGATCAATGCTTCGGGCCACTCGACCGTTGTGGCGAGATCCCACTCTGGCCCTGGCGGGTCTACCTGCAATGTATTCATGCCAGCCTCACTGCGGCTCGTCGCGCCGAATCCCACCCTTCCAAGAACGCTCCGCGCGATCGACCAGTCCTGGGTGCAGCAAGACGCTCCTGAACGGTCGTGGCCCTGGACTAGTGCCTGACAGGCCCCCCTGTGCACGTCAACGCCGCCTGGATCAAGGCAAGGACCAAACGCACCCGGCTGACGAACTGAACCAGGCTCCCCTTCCTGGGGAAGCCACGGCGGCTCGTGGGCCGCGCGGTACCGAAAGCCACACGCTTTTATGGCCGACGCTTTTGCGCCATCTGCTGAACTCGGTCCAGATGACCATCTCCCTGGAACTCGCCCTGGTAGAATCTGCAACGAGCGCCGCGCACAATAAACGCCTCCTTTCCGCCGGGGTCCTTAGGGGCCTCCTAGGGGCACCCTTGTCTTGGCATGCCTTGGCCAATACCCCCGTGCACGAAGCCAAGATCTGGGGAGGGGGCGGCGCGCCTTGCATCAATCAACACAAAACTTCGATCGCACACTGCAGAATCTGGCATGCCCTCAACTGGAGCCTTTTCTGAACCGCTGGGGCGGGACTCCGGGACCAGCTAGCCACACGACGGCTGAGCCTGGGGGTTCGGTCCGCCGCCCCCCGCGGTCTTCCCACAGGGGTGCTTGGCGTGGCGGCTTTTCAACTCATCTTCGGCCCCCTTCTTGCCCGTCCAAGGAAGTCCCTTGCTCTCTGACGTCGCTCCTCCCGCCGCCGCGCAACAGGCATACAGCAACTGTCGAGGACGCCAACAAGACGGCCCACGACGGCCAACGCAGTTTGAAGGGGGCTGGAAGGCCCCGCCAACAGCTTCGCCTCAGGCGAAGCCAAACTCCAGCTCGGTTGTATCGTAGTAACGATAATCCCAATGCTAGAGGGGATGCCATGTCAAGTAAGAGGGGATGCTTTTTAGTATCGATAGCGATAGTGTGCCTCGCGGTGAGGCACAGTCAAATCTACGCGGCCGGCCGCTTGAACCAAGACGGCCGCGGGCGCACGCTCGCTTCCGCTCCTTGCGTCCCCCAGCTCGCTTTAGAGTCGGGGGGGGAGGGAGACGAGGCGTGCGTCTGCCACCCAAAGAGCGAGAACAAGTCAGCAGCTAACCTGTATAAGAGACGGACCCAAAGGGGTTGGACCCGTCAGCGAGTTGCCTCGCGAATGTGGGACATACGCATCAGGCGGCGTCAGAGCTTGATGTCTGGCCGGCCCGATATGGCGTATGTCGCTTCAGGTCATGTTTGAAGGTCTGTATACCTCCCATGCCTTGTAGGAGCATTTCTCTGTCGATGCTCCCCTTGGTGTGACCATCCGCGGTCATGTCGCGAGTATCACACCACTGAATGCTGTGCACGATTCCACGCTCCATCATCTGGCGTATCCAACTGATGGGTCCTAAAAGGGTACACCCAGTCGGCTTCTTCAAGTCTTTGCTTGGCAAGGACTTAAAGACATATTCAGCATCGATGGTCAAGGTGACCTTGATGCTCAGGCCACCCAACTCAAGTATACGATTCAACTGAATGGGTGTGAGTGGCCCTGCATGGAGCTCGTGCAGAGTCACAATCGTGGGATAACAGTCCTCCAAATTATGGGCTGCTGCAAGTGTCTCTGCTGAGTAGCTAGAGCGGACTTGCAGGCGGTGAGACTTACAAACGCATCAATCAAGTGAACGACAGGCTTGCCAGATGACGTGCTTCCACGTCGTAGCAGGTTTGCCCCGCGAATACCATAGCCTTTGACGTCGTCATCAGCGGATCCGCTCAGGCGTGGATAGCCTGAGTGGCTATGTAAGTCGACCTCGCCCGTGGGGTTCATCGCCTGGTAGACGATCTTCCGCGGGCAGGCCTGCAACTTTCTGGTGATCGAGTTTCATCGTCGCACTTGAGTTTTGGTCGGTTCTTGAAAACGCTGGAGAGCTACAACAGAGACCATCAACCAGATCTGGTGATCAGTGCGTATTCCAGCGCACCTCTGAGGCTGACGAACATATCTGCCACCATCTTAGTCGCTCGAGCGTCGGCATCAGCGCCGGTCAATTCAGGAAGTTGTATAGCACGGAGCTGTTTGATGTATTCATCTTAGTCCAAAGTGACATTGCCGTCCTCATCCTTGGTGCATCTCACATCACACTTCGTACATGTGCGCTTGTTGAGTTTACACTTACCAAAGGTGTCCTCAACGCATTTGACATACTTGTCAATGGTGTCCTCAGTGCCGGCCATGCTAATGCCATCAGCATGCTTGGCCGTGAGCAGGTTACTGCTCGTCTCGAACTCCTCGTCATAGGACGTAGGTCGGAGGCCAAATCCTCTGGTGGTTCTCCTAAGCTTAAGTGAGAAAGCTCGTGGGGCGTCCTTGGTACCTGTGCCCGGTTTCAAGCACTGCAGACAGTGCCTCGACTCGTCGTGGTTCTTGAATCCTGGAAGAGTACGGAGCGCAGTTGCCGATCCAGGCGGCAAAATGGAGCACGCCACGCGTTCGTTTTCACCTGTTGCCCCGGCGAGTTCTTGATAGGTCAGTCCCTCTAGGAAGGCCATGTTGATGCCCAGGGAAGCAATGATCCACTGTTTCTTGCACGCTGCCGCGCTGGCAAGTAACCTCTGGATTGGCCTCCTGGCCGTCCCCGAACATGTTTCTACATCGAAAGCTTCTAGGTCCATGAACCCTCGAAGTACCAGACGAAGTCGGATGGCGCGTTCCATCTCGCCCTTGTCGTTTGAAACAAATTTCCATATGTATAAGTATCTCGAAATCATCATGTTCGACGCTTTAGCGATCTCCTGCATTTTGAAGCATTTATTGCCGAACCATATCTTGAGCTCAGTGACAAGGGCCTTCGATACTTTCTCGGGAGTCGCCTGGATGTCAGCCTTGGCGAGGAGGTCATCTTCCTTGACAACTACAACTCGCTTTGCAGCGGCAGCAACATATACTCGCAGGGTGGTCACCTGGTCGGCGTCTAACAGCATGCGTTGTTGCTCGGACAAGACTATGTTTGACATCTCTGTTGTAAAGCAAAGTTCAACGTATGAATTATTTTCGTCAGAGTCGAGTCCGTAGCTGTCGTCTTCGATATGGTGCACAAGGGAGCGTAGTACGTTTCCTCGATATCAGGAACATGGTTGCGTCCCCGCTGTGGCAGGTGCCCCCGCTGTTCATCAGGCACAGTGATCAGCACACATTGGTCAGGAACCATGTGTAGGTACGGTAAAGAGGTCTTCTAGTTGATTTGCCTCTTACAAGCCCTTTTCCTCTCGCAACTCTGCGTGCCATACCTCCATAACATGTGACTCAAGATTAGCTTCTGTATCCTCGTATATCGTAGACAGCCGTCCGTCATCATGTTCTGGTTAAGCTTCTGATGCTTCTCT